GTAGTTGATCCGTAAACTTACTTTGTATGGGTTACTCTATCTTACATGGTGACATTATTAGACTACTATTATTTGTGCTGTGAAAACCACTATTGCTAATATTGTTAGACTCTGTACGTTTCACCGCCAAAGGTCGTTTATGAAGTATTTACCGACTTGATTGAAGTTGAATTTTAAATATTTGATCGATATGAATTATTACATCTCCGATATACTGAAACAATAAATATTATTTTGTGTAATTTTTTACGAATTATAAATAAAAGTATAAGGAAACAAAAAGTATCAATTAGTTAATAAGTTGAATATAAATTACTAATTAATGTTTTAAATTTTAATACTGTATTTTATTTCAATTATGTTTTTTAATTTCTCCAAAAATTCTATTATTTTAATATTTGTTGTTTACATGAAAGTAATCAAAGAAATGTCTGTGATGAATTTAGTCGAAAATTATTTATATGTTAAGAATTAATATACACAGAAGAATGAATTCATGTCATAGTAATTAAAATATCATTGTAATATGAATCTATTGTTTTAGTTAATATGTCATGATGCGTATTTTATATTACATCAAAAGCATAGTCGTTTTTCTTATTTATAACAGTTTCAGTAAATGAGGAAATTAAAAATGAATCTATTTAAAGATAGTCACTTTCTAGTGTCACAAAAAATCGTTTTGTTTTCTGTAATTGTAATCAGTCTTTTTTAGACAGTCCTACTTATACTTATTGTAGATGAAATATTTCGTCAGTTACGAATATTTTGCGTATACTTGCAAAAATAATTTACGTTGGCTGCATAAATGTAAACCTCATTTCTTTAACCCTTGCTCTCTTTCTGACAAAACCCATTCTGTAGGGCTAATCAGCTAATTCATACGGCAACCATAAATCACTACCGGACTCTTTGGCGTCGAATCAAATCACATGGTATGGCTACTGATTGCACTCCTAACTCTCCCAGATGGCCGTCCTTTTGACCAGAGTAATTTATCGTGATACATATATGCCATGTGTATGAAACTCAATAGGTCTTTTATTAGATTAGTTAAATGGAGAGTGACTTTAAATAAAAAAAAAATTGATGTAGAAAATTTTTTAAACGCCCTTATAAAAATTAATATTGATAAATTTATATAATTTTTGTTAATGTAGTTTGTATATTTAAAAATAATAATTATTTGTCTGGAAAATTCAATAGTCAACTTACTCATTGTATATATCTTAAGTGATATTATTGTTTAAGAGTAATTTTAGAAATTGTAAGTATCTTTTATTTATTTAGAGTTCTCTCTTGTATATATATATATAGTGTCTCACGATGTTCTGACAATTAGCCTTAAAAATAGTATGTGGATTTATCAGATTATTATGGACCATTCTATATTTAAAATATTCTCTAACACAACTGGCCAATTAAAACTTAATGCAGTTTATTATTAAATAATCTGTTATATGTTCTTTAAATAATTATTTTTTTACGAGCACATTTTAAAACTAATAATTAGCTCTGTACAGATTGTATTTGAATTTAAATCCGAAGTAAAATTAAAATATTTTATGTAAGGAATAATGAAATTTATCATTCACTTATGACTAAACAGCATTATTGTTTAATGTAGTAAAACATAATCTTTGACTATTGAGTTCTTAAAATACTATTGAATATAATTGTGCTATAGGATACTTTTAAAACCGATAAATAGATGGTTTTTTTAAGCTATATTTTTCTAGTCACATTAAATTGAAAGGGGCGAAATTATATCTTTGATTGCTCAGTATTTTGACTGGAAGACCAAACGTTTAATTTATTATTTATAATACATTTAACGATTAGCAAATAGAATGTATTTTTTCTTGTGAAAAATAACGTTATTACTTTGCATCAAAACAACAATTTATTTAAAAAAAACTTCTGTTCTGACACTTCTTATAAATTAGTATTTGAACTTAATATTATTTCTGAAAACAATGCTAATCAACATGCAACAATAACAATCTAGAATATATATTACGTATGATAATTATTGTTAATCATGTTTGTGTTGTAAATGTTTGTTGTGAATCCCACGAATTTGGCAATTATAATTCTCTCATCTTTGGTGTAATGTGTTCCAATACATGTAAAATTTGTCTGTGAAATCACTATTACATAAATAGTAGTGGAATATTAGAACAATAATTTAATAATTAGTATGTAAGTGTATGTGCTCTACGTTAGTAATTAGAAGGGTTTAGATTTCAATTCATGTTAAACTGTTCAAATAAGCTGTACAATTACTTGATGTTGGAGTTTTGGCGATGGAATTGTTTATTAGATAGATTTTGCAGTCCTTTGAATATTTTGTTACCATTGTAATTATTTAATTGTTACGTGTAAAATTAATTTTTATAGTTAATGAACAAAATTATGTTCTAGAATGTATTTCATGTGATATCTCAGTAAAATATCAAAGACTAGACTGAGTTAATTGTACTCTCGGATGTTTTTTATGAACAATAACGTTAATAGTTGGTTATATATAGAAGTGTTGCTTATTTTTTATAATAAAAAAACTATAAATACACAAGAAAATTGTTTTATTTGTTCAATTGTTAATCATAGTTTTTATAATACGTATGCCCATTAAATTTTACATGCTATTTATTTTTCAGTGGCTCACATAAATAATGAATTAAAGCGTCAATATCTGATTATTTGGCTTAAGACATTCTGATTTCCAAAAAGTCCATTACAAACCATTAATCCCATTTGTAGTTATATTTCTGATTTTTTTAAAAGGGTTAGATATTTTTTAAATTAAATTATTCAATAATTTATCTGTTTAATTTAATGCATTTAAGTTTCTATAATTTTTAATTATAATTATCAGATGAGGAAGAAAAAGTAGATGAATAAGTCGTTAAATGATTATTCTTTAAGTACCGAGTCTTATGAAAATAGAATTGAGTCGTTGTCATAAAAATTATTTAAAATTTGATGCATTTTATTTGGTGTTTGTACTGTGATAATTGTTGAGTAGTTGAATATTCGTATTTATTTAATGTAATTTCAATTGGTTTTATCAAAAAGAGTTTTTAGAATTGTAAAATTATAATATTTGTTGAATAACACGTTTTTAAAAATAAAATTTTTCAATGGCTACATTTAAATTCATTCACTTATCTCTTCTGTTAAAATTTGTATGTTGATTAATTAATGAGATGCTAGACTTAAAATTACACTTCATAATATAAAATGTATTTACACTATATTTAAACTATTAATAAGTATTTGTTTTGAGATTTCTTGTTTCAGTTTGAGCTTTTTTAGAAGTCATTTTCATCCATCAAAATCAATCTTTTGGTAGTCAATTTGAAGAAAAGTATTTCAACTTAAGAACAATTACTTATAATATAATTCATTAACTTATAAATGTAAAATTTTTTTCAATTAAACCTTATAATTTGTCGATTTCAAATAATTATTTAAAATGTCAAGTCCAAAATTTTGTTAACTTAATTATGAAATTGAAAATATAATTTATATAATAAAATATTTGTGATTTTTTATTATTAATTATACGAAATCCTATTTAACAAAATTAAATTTTAAGTTTTTGTACCTGCTCCTGAATTAAAGCATTATTGAAATTTTCAAAAATATGATTTTTTATGTCAATATATTATTTTTTATAATATCAAGAGAGTAAAATTTATTTTTTCAATTTTTATTAATACTGTTACTTATTTATTAAATTAAAGCTTATGTAATACACTTTAATATGAATGACTTTTGAAAAATGTACGAATCAATACAATATTTTTTATCTGACTTCAGCTGCCCACAGGACGTATTTAAAAATAACTTTTTTACAACAAAATTAATTTTTCAGCTTAACTTTTCAAAGTGTTCCGGAAATTTAAATTATTATACTAAGTGATTTTATTTTTGTGGCTCTCATTTATTTTCTCAGCTCTCATTTGACTAACTTTTTTTAACAATACATCAATGATCACTATTGTCTAAGTTAAAGATATTACCCTCTGAAATTGAAAAAAATTCCACTTTATTATTAAAAAAAAAATTTTTTTTGTAAACAGTCAGAACTGATGATACTGATTTTACTCAACGATATGTTGAGTTAAAAGTTTACAAATTGTATCTAATAAAGTTATGGCACAAAATGCATCAAAAAACTCCTTTTAATCCCCGTAAATAGGAAATCTTTAAAAAAATTTAATATTATTTTTATTTATTTGGTTAAAATTTCTGCAAATGTATGACGTGAATTTTATGTAAACATCTTAGATGTATCTCTTTGGTTTACAACTTTTTTTTTTTGGAATTCCGTTTCCTGATATTACCACAGAGGAGTTAAAAATAGCAATTACTTTTGACAATTCTAACAACTTAAAATTAAAGGTTATAGAATAGTACTTTTGTTGAAAAATAAGTTTACCTCGGGACTTGTACTCTTGGTATGAATAGATGTCGATAATGAAGAATAAAGTACTATTTTTCTTTAAAAATCACAAATTCAGTTTCATTATCTGAGTTATCGTGAAAAAATATTTTCAAGGAGTTTTTTCATAAATTATTTTATAGGCAAATAACGTAAGAGAGACACTTTCCTCCATTTTAATGATGTCAATAATCGTCTGGATTTCAATTTATATTAGTATCGACTATGTTGAACTCTCACTGTGCTGATTTTTTTATTAAGTTAAAAATACATATTTTTTTGATTGATACTTTTGCTTTGATTTTCAACAACGTTTAATTATTGGTAATTAAATGTAATATCACACAATGGGTAATATATATTATATATTTTTTAAATCTTTTTTTTTTTTTTATGGTATAATGTTAAAATAATACAGTTTTGTTATTTTAATATATTATCAATTATCTAATTTTTATATTGTTAAAAATCAAAATATTGATTGAAATCATTAAAAAAAAAACTTGAAATTTGTGAAGATATTGTCACATATCTAACCGTTAAACATTTTTTATAATTCATTGACAGGTTCGTTGTCAGTCGATGTTTCCGCTGCGACTTCTTTGAATTCTGTTGTGTACTTTTCGAATCTTTTTAAAGTTTCATCAATTTCAATTCGAGCGCGTGCTCTGCTCTCATCTGATGTTTGCGGCCTGCATCCGAACTCTATTTTCTGCAGATTCGGCTGCGGTTCACCTGCACATTGCTGTTCTGTAGATGTAATCGGTTTATTAAGTTCGGACTTATACACTTTAATAACCTCTATAGCTTTATGTAACAACTTCATTTGTTGTGCGATTGTTATTTCATTTAGAATTATTTTATCATTTAATGCAGAATTTTCTAACTTAAGGTGTTCTATGCAGTCATTAGTCTTTTGCTTATCTGCTGCATTAACGGAATTTATCTCGGTCATATTTAAAACCAATCTGTCCAATGTACTTTGTATTCGAGCATTTGTGGACCGTTCGTCGGCAATTGTTTGATTTGCAATTTTCAACTCGCTATTCAATTGGTCTATCAACAATTGTAAGTCATTTTCTTTTTGAATGTGTACTCCTAGTTCATCTTTCATTTCGGTGAATTCCTCCTCATATTTGCATAATTTCGTTTTTATCATCTCGTAATCGCCTAATTTTTCCTCGGCTTGAGCTAATTCAGCGTTTCGGTTGTCCAGAGATCTTTTGCAATCGTTTGCTAAGTGACAAAAGCGGTCTCGTTCATTTTTCAACGATTTCCATTCCATTATCAATGATTCCATACGGCCCTGTAAATATTCTAAAATGAGTAACTCATAAAATGATATTCATGTCATACAGTATTATAGATAGTTATTTTTTATATATTTATCATGATCATCTTGTATTTTTATATGAGTATTTTATTGACGGTCAAAGAAAAAGTTAATTATGAGGTATTATATTTATAATTTTAGTAATCCTAAATACTACGTTTTAGGAGCGTGGTGTGGAGCAATGGATCATTTAGTCACTGTCTTAGCGCTGATGTTCATCTGCGTAGTTTCCTATTGGCTCCTGGATGGATAACCATACCTTTTACCGATATGTTCCACGAGCCTTATGGGACATTTTCATTAATTGTAGAAGTAAATATCTGTGACATAAAGAGTAGGCTGATGCCTTGGCCTGTTTTTTTACTGGTTTCGTTTTTCAACTATAGGTTAATTGGTATATTATATTATATACTATATTGTATACTATATTGGTATACTATATTGGTAATATAGGTTTATTTTAAGTTTTCGAAGATGATATAAATGTTCTAAATAAATGATATAATTCAAATTTTAAAAATATTTATTTTGCTTCATAGATGTGTTGCTTATATGTTCCATTGACAACACTGTATCCTTAGTAGTTATACATAATATTGACCACTTAACACATAAGGATTATAAGTTAATTTAAAAGCTTATATAATCGAAGTACTTGCTTCGATAGACACTACTAGGTCGTCGAATGACAAAGTCTTATCTTCAGTATCTGATCTTCCGTTGCAACATAACATTGCCTCCATTCTATCTCTTAAACACCTGACCTTTAAAATACTGGAAGAGATTTCCGCTTTTAAACATTCATTTTCCATTTTGTGTTTTTCGTGCAACTCTCTCATTCTCTCGTAGCCTGAAAACAAACCTTCAGTAATGTTCTTTTGTTCTTCTTTAAATGATGTCATTTTTTGTCGCAGACATCGCAGTTCCTGCTTAAGTATCTTATTTTCTTGCTCGTGACAATTCTCTGGAGTTTTTGGTTTACACAGCTTAACGTCCTGTAGTAATAAAATAAAATAATATTTGTATTGTTTATAATAATTTTTATATGTGTATGAGCAAGCTTACATTTTCAGACATAAGTATCTACTAGATAAAAATCGTAATCGCTTAAAATTTAAAAATTAGCGTCAAAGACAATAAAAATGTATAACTTAATGTTATCAAAATTTAAGGTTTTGTAATAATTTTGTATCGATTGTCAATTTTATAAATTAGACTTAGTTTTGGTTATAATTTTTGGATAATTATATTCTTAAAACAGTTAAGTCTATTGATTATTAACAGATTATTTCATTTTTAATTAAAAAAGTATTCTCTTTTTTAAATATCTTTTATAAAAGAAAATTTCAAAAATTGTATTGATTTGTTTCCATATCAACGTTAACCATTATTTTTCATTTTAATTTGTTATTATATTTTTAAGATTTTGTTATAAAATAATTTATTACTAATGCAATAATCTGTCCTATCATTTTTCGAAAATAGAATTACATTAGTTTATTGAATGAAACAATATGTGAAGTTTTTAGAAAATTGGCTTACTCATGTTGCTATGTTATTTTATATGATATTTATTATTTTAATATTTTCTATAGTGATGGATGTTTAACTAGAGATGTTTAAGGAGAGGTTCGGTGGAACATGTTGTTCGCTGACGATATAGTGTTAATAGGAGAAAATAGGGAGGAAAATAATCAAAAACTAGAGGTGTGGAGATCAGTTCTTGAAGAAAAGGGTTTAAGAATAAGTAGGATTAAGACAAAGTATATAGATTACGAGTGATAAAGGAAAACACGTAGTAGCTGAAATGAGGAGATCAGTGACAATAAACGAGGACGTGATAGGAATTGTGCAAAAAAACAGTGGTATTGATGAGGATGTAAGACAAAGGATTTAGTGCTGGTGGTTGAAGTGGGGAGAAGAGAAGCGTCTGGTGTGTTATGCAATAAGAGAATTCCAATGAAGCTGAAATGTATGTTCTATAAGACCAGCTATGATGTATGGTTCAGAGTGTTAGGCGGTTGACAAGAAAGTAGAGCAGAGAATGAGTGTAGCACTGATGAGAATACTTATATGGATGAGTGGAGTGACTAGAGAAGATAGGATAAGGAATGAACATATAAGAGAGAGTATAGGTGTAGAGTCGATCGTGGATAAGATGAGAGAAAATAGACTTAGATGGTTTGGTCATGTTATGAGAGGAAACGGAAGTTATTAGAACAGTTATGGAAATGAATATACAAGGAAGAAGAGGTAGAGGAAGACCAAAACAGAGATGGAGCGATGATATTGAATGCGATATAAAGACGTCTGATGCGTGAGCGTAGATGATGTGGGAGATCGTATTAAGTGGAAGTTTAGGATAATTGTGGCCGATCTTAAGTAGTCGGGGGATAAAGGCAAAGAAAAAGAAGAAGATTGAGAATATTTCATATATTAAAGTTGTTATACTGTATTTTGTAAAAAACTACTTTTTAAAAACAATGATTTTCGTTAATTTATATTGTAATTCAAAATTTATGTTTAAATGACTGCATTTAAATATATTATTATGCATTAAAAATATTAAAAAAAAAATAAATTGCAAATGTTACTTGGGTCGTTAATTATATTTATGCCAATTTGATTTATTAATCTAATGATTTTGATTTTTTAACTTAATTTTAACGATGATTTGAAAATTTAAATATTTTTTAATATTTGAATTTAAAAGAGTAAGATAGAATTAAAATCTATTATTGTTTTATACAAATTTTAGACGTGTAGTTGGGGATTTTTTTGGGAAAGGGACAATAGAATATTTGTTTTTTGTCTAATAATAGGCAATTGTCTAACTCTTTTTTTGCGTGAATCGTGTAGGGTTTGGTGCAATTAATTACATTAAAAATATTATGAAAAATCCTCATTTATTTTAAAATAAGTACGAAATGAAATCTTTTAGAGTTTTTGGACTTTTTATCCAAATCAAAACTTTTTCATTAAATTATATGACAAAATTTGTGTTCAAAAATAAAACTATGTCATTATTCAACATTAATATAAAAAAAAACGGTAGCACAGTGGGGTCGAGGCACAGTGTGGACGAGGCATAGATGGGACAAGTACAGATGATATCTGACAGTGATTAAAATCACTATCATAAGAAACGCTTCGATGCAAATCTGTAGATAGTGTTTCCTTTAGAGAAATTGGTG